ACTCAGATACACATACACAACACACACAGGCACTAGGGCTACAAAATATATGTATATATTATCACAGTATAGGCCTTCTGAATGCTAATATTGCTGAAAGCTACAGTATGTAAATGTAAAAGTAGGAAGGCAAATTTTGGCTGACTATTTGGACTAGCAACCAACCATCATTGGTAAGCGATTAATTTTTTAACCAGCAAACCTGAGATTAGGGTTGTGACCCATCAAAATATCAGTTGTAAAACCAATAGTTCTGGTTCTGAAATCTGAGCCGTGTTTAAAGCCATTGTGACAACTGTGTTCATGATTGTATGACGGCAAGCCAAAAATTTGACAAAATGACTCGAATGCACAGTGATGGACCACTAAATGTTCCACTGTATACTGTATATACTACTGTATATTCCAAAGTTCTGAAGTTATAATTACCACTCATTACTAGGCCAAGTTAAAACAAACATAAATGCCATTACTGCAGTTAGGCTCTGTGTACCTCAGTAGCCCTCAGGAGTCATCGCTGTCCACCTCAAAATCACACCTATGTGGAATTTCCTCATGGTACCGTCCATCAACCTTTCTCTCAGAGAACATGGATGGAACCGTTGTCTGTCTTACCACTAGTGAGTGTTTGCTTTTGTTATGGTAAATTGTTGTGGTACTATCATCAATAGTATCAAACACCACTATTTTAGCTGATTTATTTTTTAGGGTCTTACAGAACCAGTTGCTTATTGTACCATCATACATGCATTTCATAAACGTTTCTTAACGTGAATGAAAACCCTATTCAAATAAGAATGGTTGTTTATTGGAAATTGATTAAACACAACTTTTTATCCAATAGCAGTGGTCAGACAGTTGTGTATTTGTCAGTAAACAGTTAATCAGTTAGTCATTTACATCCCTAGCAGTGAGCATCCTGACCAGCTTTAGATGTTCCTGATACATTTCTGTCAGGGGTGGAGCCAGCAGGAGCATGGGGCTGTTGGGGGTTGTCAACATGAGCCCTCATCTTCAGGGGTCCCACAGATGTGGCCAAAACTAAATAAAAAAAATAAATATAATAAAATGTACAAAATATTCACAAATTTTTAGAAAAACTGAACTTCAGGTCAATGTTGATGTAACTACTATCATATAATTGACAGAATCAACTAATCATATCAGCTTCAAACTCCAGTGACCAAAAGCAAATTGACCATCAAAGCAAGAGGCACAGAGAGACAGATTATAACTGATGAGAAAATAATGCGAATGCAAAAAAGAGAGGTAGGATGAGGACAGCTAAGGTGAGGAAACTGAAAACAAAATGGTAGCAGAACTGTGTGCCTAACAATAATAACGAGGGAGTTGAAGATTACTTAATGAAAGAGATTTGCTTGATGTTGTATGCACCTTAGGCAGCCTGTTTGCTCAGTGCACTGAGTTAAAAAATCAACTTGACATGGTCATGTAGCCTGCAGTGCAGTGCCTACAGCCTTCAGTAGGCCTGTCACGGTTATTACATAATCGCTTAATCACGATTCATTCAGATTATTGCAGTTATTTGCGATGATTGCAATTATTTAAGATGACTGCAGTCATTTTCCACAGTTGTTAAATTTCACAGTCATATTACGCTGCAACAAACAAGATGTGACTTTGGGATTGGGTTTGGACAAAGAAATTCAAATAAAGGAAAGCAATAGATGCATTAATCAAGACATCATGGGGCTCATGAAAACAAAAACATTCCAACTTGGTGCTCTAATGTCTAGTAGGCAGCACTGAGTAATCTGTTTATTTCTTTGCTAGTGGTGGCTATTCAGCCAATTTGGCCACTTTATGTTTTTGTTTTAATGGTTGCAAGCAGTGAACAAGAAAAGACAATTAAATCGTTAATTGCAATTATTTATATGACAGTTAATCGTCACCTAAAATTTCATGATCATGACAGCCCTACCCCCCAGTAAACGCAGTGCTATCTATTGTCATCATTATCCATTATCACTTCACCCCCCGCCTTGTAAGAGCTGATAGAATCCAAACCTGGGAGACTCGATCTGTTGTCTGGACAGGTGAAGTTTATTTGTTGCGCGCGCAGGTTCCAGACATCCAGCCAGCCCCCTTATACAATGGGCTGTCACACTTTTATAGCTGGACTGATGCCAAGATTAGACCCAGCGTATACAGGACAAGTAACAGGTGTGACAACATGACCACATAAGGAGAAAGACAACAATAGTCAACCTAAAATACAACTTCAAAACACACACACACAACACAGCACATTAACTTCCTTCAGAGCAAAAGAGGCCACTGTTTTCTGTAGATATCACTGGATGAGGCAGGGCATTCACATGATCCAGCAGACATAATAATGCAGGTCAGTTTTTTAACCATCAGTGTACAGTATTTTTCCTTTAAGGTTATTCCCCATGCTCCAGTCCGCATGTGGATACATTTTGCCATAACCATCAACATCATGCATGCAGCCTCATCCACTTTTGTCTGTATTGTGCAGCCTTAATACGTGCACACTGTAAAACAGCTGGATCCTGGTGGGGTTTGAGGAATTTGCACGAAAACACGCCCTCAGTGTTATGCAGTATTAGTGACATGTGCATGCACAAAAGTCAGGCTTGGTTAACAGGAGGCGGAGTAAGCGATGATGAAGGCCAGAGGTTAGCATGCATCCAGCTACTACACACCACTAGCCTACCCACACATGCATAAACCGAACAATCTGCAAATGAGACCAGTGCCCACACACAGTGATCATGGATGCAGAACATACACACAGACACACACACATACAAGCAACCACTGCTCCAGAGAGCAGCAAAACAGCGACGGATAAAACAGAAGTGTCTCTGCAGCTAAATGATCCCAGAGGACATGCCCCCTATTGTCGCTCTGTGGTGAGTATACAGGTGATCTGTCTGCTGACTGATGAGTCAACAGCACAGCAGAAGTGGTTTTCCCTCTGTGGGGGTGTTGTGTCCTACTTCCACCCCAGACTGCTGGGCAGAAACTGTGTGTGTACACTTTTAGGGAAAAAATGTCCTGACTGTGTAGGAACATAGAAAAACAGTGCTAACAAAAAACAAGGTTAGCCTGCCTCATCAAGAGCATCAAAAATGGTCTTGACTTCATGTAGAGACCTTTTTACAAAAGCTACACGTTTCATTTTTTATGGCTGAAAGAGCAAAACCATTTCTGTTGTTACTGAGGTTAAGGGTAGGGTTAGGTTTTGGGTTAGGCTAGTAAAATTCTTATTATAGGTAGATTCAGTACTGTGCAAAGTCAGAGACCACCTTTTCATTCAATCAATTTCCAGTTAAAACAGCTGTTAAGTACATGAGTCAGAAAACAAAATAGGAAATAGAAAATGAAGCAAAAGCATCCCACACTATGGGATCACATCTATCAGTATCTAATTTGTCTGCTCTTTACTTTTGTGCTCCTTCCCCCACTTTCACTCCATCCTTGCCATCTTAAAACCGAGTTACAGCTGTATCCTCCAAATAAAAGCTGTTCCCAAACAACATGTTCCCCTTTAAAGACACACTAACATTCATACAGGCAACTACTTTTAGCTGCATAACAAATGTCTTTCTCATGTGCATCTAAATTGCTAAAAGACATATTTCTGGGTGGATTGGATAAGAGATAATTCAAAGAAAAATAAGTGAAACAGCAAGAATTTCCAAAACTGGTTTCAAAGAATGATTGAAAGATGCAGAGTAAATGGGACTCTGTCTGTGAGAAGACAACACTATGGGTCTAAAAGAATGTGCAGCTTTCAGGAAGCTGTTTATGAGAAAAAGAAACAAGCAAGAAAAATTGCACTAGAGCACTTAAACGGAACATCTGAGATGTGGAGTGAGGTTTTATAGACTTTTGAGTCTAAATTTGTAACTAAGATAGAGCAGAAAATGCAACCAACTTCTAAGACTGAACTTTGGTAGTGTGGAAAAATATCCCTGCAGATTTCTTAGAAAAACTGAAAGCAAGTCTTCCAAGAAGAATTGAAGATGTAATAAAGGAAAAGGGTAAACACACAAAAATACTGACAAATTTGATGCTGTATTTCGTTGCTGAGGCCTTTGTGTAATTTTCTCTTCAATATATTTTTTTGCTTTTTTCCTGATGCTGAAAATAGATAACGTGTCCTTAATGGCTGTTATAAGTGGAAATTATATAAATGAAGTTGTGGTCTCTAACTTCTGCATAGTACTGTATACGTCTGGGCCATATATATGGCCCCACGTCCTGACAAGGTATAAAAACGAATGTGTGTGTGTGTTGGTGATCTATGCATATATGCGAGAGAAAGAGGTAGTGAGACAGTGTGTTTTATGCGTGATGGAAAAGGCCTTCAAATTGTCAGTGAAGACAAAAGAGGCTTTAGTGAGCTCTGACATTTTTTTGTAATCACACTCTCACACACACGGTCAACATCAGCGTAGATGTTGACCGAGTCATATTAATCTTCCGCCACACACACACACATATGCAAGTTCATTCACTCTCAGTCTGTCATGGACGGGACACCGATTCAGATACAGTGCCGCCTCTGTGTCCTTAGGCATCAGTTACTGCTACTTCAACAATTTTCTGCTGTCTATTTCTCCTGAATGTGCAGAGTATTGTACATTTTTATATTGTATCTATGAATTTTTTTACTTCCTTTTGTATTATATTTTTGTGTTTATGGTCGCTAGTAGCTGAAAACATTCCTTATATGTAAAAACGCATTTGGCTATTTTTGATTCGGACATTGTCTGTACACGATACACAAGGCCCAGACAGAAGCAGGACACAAAATTGACTTGTTACGTTTGTTTTGACACTTAAAATCCTAATGAAATATCTCATCTTCAACTTACAAACACAAATGTGCTATTAATTGAAAATTTAGAATCTGCACTTGCAACAGATTTCAAAATAATTTTCAAATAAGTGATAAAATTATCGACAATAACAAAAGAGTTATGAAAGACTCTTGTTTGTATCAGGTGGGCGACAGGGCAAGCTGCCGGTGACGGCATTCGAGGCCTTTGACCTGGAGATGAAGAGCTGGACTCGGTACCCGTGCATTCCCAGCCGCAGGGCATTTTCCAGCTGTGCGGCCAATGAGCGAGCTTTCTTCAGCCTGGGGGGCCTACAGCAGCCCGGACCACACAACTTCTACTCCAGACCACACTTTGTCTCCACAGTGGAGGAATACGACTCTGAACAGGGTGAGTGCTGTTCACTTCTTCAAGCTCTGTCTCTCTCTCTCTTTCTCTCTCTCTCTCTCTCTCTCTCTCCCACACACATACACATTAGAACTTGAAATATTTGTTTGAACCCAATGGGACCCTACTTCTCACACTTGGGTTCAGTTGGGTTATGTTGTCATTTCCCAAATATGTGTCAGGCTCAGATTGGGTTCAAATTTCACCTTTAGGTTCTCACAGTCTGCATACCACTTTTAATGGATTTTAGCTGCACTTTTCTCTGCTTTACTTTTCAACCTTCCTCCCTACTTTCACTACCATAAAACAGTTTTAAGTCTTGTATGCTGGAGTTAACCCTTTATGTTGTTGACAGAATTTAGCATCCACAAGGTCCACATAGGAAAGTGGATGCACAGGAAATAAACAGTGAATCAATTCAGGAGAACAGACTTTGACTGTTTGTTAAATATGTATTATATGTAACGTGTTCTAAGTAAAGACAGAGTTTTGTGATGAAACAAGTGAAAGCTATCTTGCTATATCAGATCTGCACAGCATAAGAACAGTGCAGTATGGAAAGTTTATCCATTTTCTTAAATGAAACTTAAAATGAAATTTTGGACAGCTGATTATTTTGATATTTCGTATTTTTTCATAAATTCTTTCATCCATGATGTAATGACAGCAATTATTGATACTACAAGGAAGTTTAACTGGCGAGTCATTAGAAAAATCGCAGACGTCTACAAACTTTTGGACATATAATGTCATGTCAGTTTTATTGCAAAAACATTTATAAAACCTTTAAATATACTAGTGCTAATATATCAGTCAGTCAATTTTTGAACAGTAGAAAACATAGTGGTGTCTATATTTGGAGCTGTTTGTGGAGCTCTGCTCAGTCTGCACAAATAAACAGACGTCTGCAAGATATGCAAGATATAAGAGTGAGATGGAACACACCACTTAAAACCGCATTTCATGGATCATTACCTCAGTTGTGTCAAATCAAAGCAGCGGTTTCACACCTTTTCACGCCTTTGGCTTTGCCAGTGACCATGCAGTCAATCATAAGCTCACCTTTCTTATTCCGTAGGCCAGTATCTCAAGCAGAGATTAGAGATAATGTGTGATACTGGTCTAAATAATACAGTCAGTGTAGATTTTCCAGTTTCTTCTCCAATTTACATTGTATATTAGATTAGATATATTATATATATTATATTAGATTTCAGCTGTGTCCAGGGAACCAGCGGTCTGTGTAGTTTTGTCATGCTTAAACAGTGCCTCACATTAATTCCACTGACCGTGTTCTTTTCTCTTTGTATGCACACTGCTGTCTGTGTGCTCATACTTTCTCTGTTACCCTGAATCCTTTGCAGAGTGTAATTAAATTGTCATTTTAGCCTGTGCGGAAGCCACAGTGGCTGTCAGGATCCATGAAGGAGTCAGCTGCGCCAGTGCAGGCCGAGTTTAGAGTACGAGCCACATCAGCTTTTCAAAATTAAGAGAAAGACCCCCTGTGGACCATCAGCCTTTTTCACACAGCCATGTGTGCTGGCTTTCTCATCTCTTATCTTTGCTTTTTCATTTCACTGGCTGTGCATGCTGGGTTTGTGTGCGAGCCTGGGCTTTGTGAAGGGTGATCTCTTTTGTTGATACGAAGCTCAAACTAAACCCTCAACTCATACCAGACTCCAGTCTGCTTATATTAAGCTTTTCCCAAGTCCTCTGGGAGCACCATTATCCAGGAAACTCATTCAGATGGCAGAATAGAAATGGCTCAGAATGAATGGCAGAAAAGAAAATCAATAAGGCAACGAAAAGCTCTGCAGATTTTGAAGCCCCTGACACCACTTTTGTGATTTTTACCGTACGGAACTTTCCGGTGTCATGTCATGGGCTTATTTAAATTAGACAGAGACAGTTTCCACATTTGAACTGAGGTAACACACTTTTTGCATGTGAGAGTGTGACCTGATGGCTGGCTGCTCTTACGTTTTAATAAGGAGCATTTGCATTTAAATGTCTGATCATAAAAATTCACTTCTGTGATTTGTGTAGTTAACGGAAGGCTTTGTGTTAGCTGACTTGTGTGTGTGTCTGTGTGTGTGGTTAATAGATGCTAGCGTGAGGGGCCAGTGTATGTGTAAGTGGCAATCAGTAATTCCATTATCACTTTACCTATTACTGCAGAGGCTCTGGAGAATGTAGGCGAGTGTAATTACCAACCCGCAGTTACAGGCCAGCTCAATTACACATTCCTGTTCGCTAATCTGCCCATTCACCACGCTGATGAACACATGTAATAAGATGTGTGTCTGTGTCTTCATGTATGCACTCCTGTTCATCAAACGATGTTACTAGTACACCAAGTAGTATACTGTCCTACAGTTCATATATTTCCATCAGAACCTATTTTATTTCACCAAAATAGGTTATACATGTGAGGAATTGGTAAGTGCACACATGTATTGCCTCTAACACACAGTCCAGATAAGTATAGAAGCCTATTTCATATTCCAGATATGGAATATGGATTAAATTATAGCTTTAAAATCCTAACATTTTATGGAAAGTTTGAATATCACACACTGTAGGAGCCTTATTGAATTTAATTAAATTTAAATGTATGTTGCCATTCGTATTTGGTGTATATATGTAACATATATATGTATATATGTGATGATATATATATATCGTCACTGTCCAAAGAAAAACAAGTATCTCCAAAATAGATTTACTAAATTTACCGGTGAAGGCAAAAGCACGCTTACCTTTCAATGCAAGTTAATGTAAAGAGGTTTTATTCCAAATGATTTTTGAACATCTCTATTAGTCCATCCATCATGGAATATTCACACAACGTGAAGGACCGGTAGTGTGTTGAAATGATGTAGAAAAATTAAAAGTGGTCTATATGTAGAGAGATAGATAGTCGCCTTTTACTGTGTTATTTGGTTAGAGTTAATGTTTTTTCCTTTAGTTGTGCTTGAGACTCTTCATTTGCTAACTGCATATAGTAAATGAGCAAGTACAAAGTAATTTGTCTCAATTGGTTGATAGTAAGCACAACATATCTTTACCGCTCTGTAGCTTCAAGTTTTGTTCAGTGTTTTATGCCCTCTTTTATTTACTTCTACTTACTTACTTATTATATACTTTATACCTTAATTAACACTGTATTAACACTGCCTGCCTGCATGTGTGTAGGCCTGTTAGCCTGCCTGTTAGCTGTCCTGCTTTTGCATTCGCTTGCTCTCCAGCCTGCCTGCTCATGCCTGCTTGCAGCATATTTGCTCACTCCACTGCCTCCTTTGGCACCATCAAGGTATGGCGTTCTCAAGGTAATTTGGCCATAACTGAAGAAGAGTGGGACAATATCTGTTCAGTTTCATGCCAGACAAATTACTCTGGCAGTTGGAGGCAATTTTTCATTGAAAACATTACGAAGTTTTTCACTACACCATCACAAAAGAAGCACTTTTCGGTTGGCTCAAAATGTTGGAGGGATTGTGGAGAAACAAATGCACACCATTGTCATCATTTTTGAAGCTGTACAGTTATTTGCCTCCTCTGGCACGAAATACACAAAACAGAGCGCGTGTTAAGGCATCAAGTACCATATAGTTTTAAAGTATTGTATTTGGGCCTTATGCCTCCACAGGTGAAGAGATCAATAGAAATGACCAGTTTAGAAAATCTCCTGCGCTGGTTGTTGAAGAAAACTACGTTCCTACATATCTTTACTGTGGTTTTGAGTCTTTTACTTCATATACATGAAACTTGTGACCAACTTGAGACTGCAAGCATGCGTATAATGATGAAATTGTGCATGTTTTTCCCTCCTTCAAGTCAAGCTGTTCCAAAGTGTCCTACTTTATAATGCCTCTGGCTGCGTATGAGTTTATTATACAGCAGGGGAAAGGCAGAGCCAGTGTGAAAATCCATTTATGACATTTTGTGAATCGATTCAGAGTCTTTCAAGAGAGACGTGATGCATCCAAGAATTGATCATTTTTTCCACCCAAATTTCCATCAGCTGTTGATGGGATTCATTGAGATTTGAGTCACTGATGAATATACATTGGTAGATTACATAGAGGTTCAAGTTGAAAATGTATTTCAAAATGTATTTCAAACTTGATGCGTTTCATAAACTTTAGCTGGCCTGAAAATACACATTCAAGTCTGTGACCCTCAGACAGTTCTCAGTTTTTGTGCCAGCCATGAACTTTGGCGAGCTCCATAGACCCAGTGCAGGTGGTGGGAGCCAGAAGATTGTTCTCTAAACTTGCATCCACACTGAAGAACAGCTCCTACTCCATGTACGAGACTCTGACAGCACTGGGCAGCTCCTTCAGTGACAGGCTGCTTCCCCCAAGTGTGTGAAGGAGCGCTATCACAGGTCCTTCCTGCCTGCTGCTATTAGACTGTACAGCCAGCACTGCTCCCAGTAGAACCCCCAGCCCCACCCCGTTAGACCTCACACACCTACAGAACATAAACTGTGAATTCATCACCATAACCATGTGAAATGTAATCATACCTCATGTGTAGTACTTCTTGTGCAAGATTTCTAATGCAATACTTTTGCTTATTTTATTTATAATGTTTATACTGTTAATTTTTGTGAAGGATAGATTTTATATTTTTTTATCTTTAGTTTATTTTTCATTTTTTTATGTGTTTTCTCCACGGTAATAAGTAACAAACTGTAACCTTGTTAAGAAATGAACAAGATTAAAATCTTGTTTGTTAATTTTTTTCCTGTTACTCTTTTTTAAGTGTCTTGCTCTCCCTTTGCTGCTGTAGCGCTGCAAATTTCCCCTGTGATGGGACTAAAAGTATTATAAGTTAAGTTACCCTTTATTAGTCCCACAACAGGGAAATTCACCTCCGCATTTAACCCATCTGTGCAGTGTAACACCCACATACATACTAGTGAAAGCACACACACTAGGAGGCAGTGAACACACTTGCCCAGAGCAGTGGGCAGCCCTATCCACAACGCCCGGGGA